GCTCTGGAGACCAGGCTGGCCTCAAACTCATAGAGATCTGCCTGCCTCTGCCTCCTGAGTGCTGGGATTAAAGGCGTGCGCCACCAACGCCCGGCATGAGTGAAGTTTTTAAACAAATGCTGGAAGTCAATGATCTTTGTTTGTAGTTAGTATAGCAAGTATTTGACATATTATGTTCAATGATGAGCATGTTGGTATAAACGTGTAATCTCAGTATGGGGGAAGCAAATGAAGGAGAATGGAATGTTCCAGGAGAGCTTAGGCCACGTTGTAAGACCTAGCCTGAACCAACCCCAACAACCCCAACCCCCTTTAGTGTTTCTTTTTCTTACTGTTTCCGGTGTATGCAGCAGTGGGAGTATAGCAGCTGGAAAACTGAAAACTAATGTGAATCCCATATCTTAGCTAGCTTCTGCATCTCCTGACCAGTTTACAGCAGGCTTTCAGTAATGCAGAGAGGTTGGTGGTGAGGTCAATGGCATCTTCGATTAGGACTTTTTTCTTTTAAGAAGAAAATTTAAAAACAATTTAAAAACATTTGCTTACTTTATTTGTATGAGTTTCTTGTGTATGTGTATATGTAGTCACTGTGTGCATGCCTGGTACCCATGGGGGGTTAGAAGAAGACATTGGATCCCCTAGAACTGGAGTTTATGGACAGTTGTAAACTACCACATGGGTACTAGAAACAAACCAGGTCTTCTGCAAGAAGTGTTCTTAATTGCTGAGCCATCATTTCAGCCCTTTCCATTTGTGTTACTGTGTAGTGTTTTTACAAATCATTCTGTTGGGACTATTATTTCATTGACTATAGATCAGTTTGAGGAGGATCTTAATGATATTAGGTATTCTAGCCCAGTTTCTATTTATTTGGATCATTAATGTTTTTCAACAGTGTTTTGTATTTTCATAGTACTTGTTGACTTAATTTGGTTACATTCATTCTCAGATATTCTTTGATTCTCTTAATTGTTTACTTAATTTTTGAGATAATTTATTGCTGATGTATAAAAATGCAACTATTTTTGCATTTTGATTTTTTATATACTTGTTTTTGAAAATTATCTATTGGTTCTGTTTAAGCTTCTATTACAGATGTAAGATCAGATGATACAGATAATATCATCTATAAATTTTGCTTTGTTATTTTCTTTTCTCATTAGAACACTTTTTTTTTCCAAGACAGAGTTTCTCTGTTCAGGAACTCACTATTTAGACCAGGCTGGCCTTGAACTTGGAGCTCTCCCTGCCTCTGCTTCCCAAGTGCTGGGATTAAAGGCATGTGCCATCACTGCCTGGCCATTTGAACACTTTTCCATCCCCAGGTTCCCTGGCTAGAATCTTAAGCATAGTGTTAAGTAGTAGTGAACCTTTCATATGATTGAAGGAAAGATACTATAATCAGAGAATATCCTTTTTTAATGATCTCCATTTAAATTATATGTACATGTATCTATCTGTATGTGTGTGTCATGTTGAGTGCAGGTGACCTAGGATCCTCGTCACAGAGGCATTGGATCTTCCTGGAACTGGAGTGATAGGCAGTTGTAAGCTTTCCAACTCAGGTCTTAGGAATCCAACTGGGGTCTTCTGCAAGAACAGTGCTCAAATGCTGAGCCACCTCTGTAGCTCAGTCTCTATTTTTTTTTTTTTATAGTTGAAATTTATTTAAATTATTATTTTTTCCCAGTGTGTTGCTTATACTAGTAAATCTTTTTAAATTGGTATATATTAATCATGCAAAAAAGGGATCACTGCCATTTTCAGAGGTGCATATAAAATTACCCTCACTATACTGTCTTATCTATCACCACCTACTTCATTTCCTCCCGTATTCCTAATTGTTTCCTTTTACTTCCTTTTAGGGGAGCCCATAAAGATAGTTTTAGGGTATCATGGAATTTGACCATATTCACTTCCTATATACTTCCTCTATTCACTCTCCCATTTCCTCTTGCTGAATACTTTCCTTCCTCCAATTTTTCTCTCTTTTTTTCATGTCAAACACATGGG